ATTAAATATTTTAATTATTTTACAATAAATTAAAATGAAACGATAATAAAATATGTTAATTGATATTTCAAATAAAATGTTTTACCTACAAAATTTATTTATGGGTGAAGTTATCTACGGAAATTTTCGTAGATAATCTACGGAAAAATCCGTAGATAAGTTATCTACGGAAATTTCTGTAGATAACTAAATATTATCTACGAAAATAATTCTGTAGGTAATTTCTGTAGATAACTAAAAATTATCTACGAAAAAAATTTCGTAGATAACAACATTACTACGAAAAAAATTTCGTAGATAATATTCCATAGATAATAATCATTTTTCTTGTAGTGGATTAAATATCTTGAGTGTGAAGTCTGTAGGAATGGACATCTATGAGTGGTCTAATAATAGCCCGATAACGGCCGAGTAGCCTAATAAGCCCAACACACTCTTTAGGATATAAGCTCTGATACCATCTTAGAAAGTGGGTGAAAAACCTAACTCAACCATATAAAATTAGCTTGTAAGGTGAAGATTGTTCCCTATTTATATACATTATTATGTCCTTATTCTTGAGTGATGTGAGATCTCCAACTTATAGATTAATTAGAGACTATGTAGTTCAAGACCACCTAATAATTTCTTAGTACCAAAACCCATTCAACACAGTAAGACATCGTAGTAACCTTAAAATCAATAACAACATATACAAGACATAAAGGTAGGCATGCACAATCTATTAACCATATTTACATCACAAATACTTTTAGTCATTTTCAACTTAACAATATTAACATTGAAACATCTTCATCCGTCATTGTACATCACTCAACCACACAACATAACTATGATTCAAAACTCATGTAATTCATGTTCCTAACTCTACGTGAATGTTCTACCAATCTCTTCATCATCATCATCGAGAATGCAGAATAGCCTAGGAGTAGTGGAACAAGACCACCCCATCAAATAGTGTAGGGATTACCTATCATTAATGATCCCTCTGAACCACATCAACTAAAAGATGTCTATTATAACACACCCCAAATACACGTAGATAACTATGATATTCTACTTGCATAGACCCACACTACCTCGTGAAACAATGCATGAAATGCATGGACTCAAAACAAATAATTCAACTACACAATATGCATTCTCAACTCCTTGAGTGTTAGTCTGTAGTACTAGATTGTTTCATCATATCTTGTCACAAAATCTCACAATTTATCTTATCATAAAATTCATCACAACCATTCAAAAGTATCTCAATATGATTATTCATTCAACATCATGGGTACAACACAACAAATTATGTCAATTTACACATCAATATTCATTGATTTCATCTATTAGTAATAGTCTCAACCCTTTGATAGCGTTATTGATTCACTATCAAATATTACTAGATTTCTCCTAAGATTTGTAATATAAGGAATAACCGAAGTCATTATTCTTGAAGACACAAGCCAATATGATCCAAAACTATCATGCAATTAGAAAGGGGAATTTTTCAGATAGTGAATAGTAATCAACAATTAAAAATGTAAACAAAAAGATTAATAAGAAATTTCAATAAAAAAAATATATCAATTTAAAATTTCAATCCTCATGGTAAAATTTTCATGGTTCAAATTATAATACTAATTCAATCAACCTTAAATCAATATAAACATAATTAAAATGTAGATCTAAATCTAGATCTATTGAATTTCATACAAACATGAAATGCAATCATAATCTCACAATTTTCATGAAATTCAAGAACAATCAATATTTGATTTAGGCATATTATTATAGATCTATATTTAAATCTAAATATATATCTAAAATTAATCTTCAATCTCTGTTTTTGGATCTATTAGGAATGTAATTCATAATCATGTAAAACGAAAAATAGATCTAGAATGGAAAAGAAGACGAAAAAAATTTGTACGATAAAATTAGATAGAAAACTCAAATTTTATCGTAATTCATTAAACCTCGAATTGAATAAATGGATTAGCTACGCAACTCCATTCAGTTGATGCAATTAATTCATGTAGAAATGTATAGAGAAAATTCATAGAGAGAGAGACAGAGAATTTAGAGGGACTTGTAGAGGAAATAACTCTCAAATCCAAAAAATGAGTGTAAAATATACATAACAAGTCTCAAAATACCTATTAATAGAGCAACATAGTGGACCTAATAAGAATATTTACAAGGCCTGACCCATTAATAAACTAATTAACAAGGTTGGACTACTAATATAATAAGTTTCTAAAGTAAATCCAAAATGAAGTAAAAGGCATAACATTAACGTGCATTTTTTTACTCTTAAACATCCAAATTGGTGAAACTCTTAACAAAGAAGTTGTAGAGATCTATCTTAACTTTTCAGTCACACCAAGAACGTCTGATTCTGATTTTGCGAGCTCCAGATAGGGCTTCCACAAGACTACATGTCAAAGTAAACAAAAATCATGAAAATTAACTAAAATTTAGAATTGTAACCAAAATACCTTATTAAAATAAATGTCAAACAATTCATCAATTTAAGACACTTCTAGATGTCAAATGAAATCAATCTAATGTATTAAAATATGTATTAATTATGCACTATCACCCTTCCTCATTGTTCCTCATTCAACAAAGTAATCCATAAAATAAAAATTTAAAATGAAATAGGTGTGGTGCTCAATGAGATTTACATCATGCCCAACACATGAAGAGACCAAGCCATTCTACCAAACTCATGCCCGATGTGTGATCACCCGCGCTCGTCACGACGAAGTTTTGAGACCTCTTTGTCTTAGCCTTGTCTGACATGGTTTGGATCATGCCTAACGTCAAGGAGTTAAGGACCCTCTGGTACCTTCTCGCCAGGTGTGGTATGGGCCATGCCCGATGTTGATAGGGCTCTTTGTGAAATTGATGTCAAATGACATCAAATGTAGCACCTCATGCCCAACGTCAAGAGGTCTAAAACCTCTCTAGCAACCCCATGCCCAATGTGACCATCTTCACATATGACACAATCACAAAATCTGCTCTTCATAGACTTACAATCTACGTGATCTATTTCATCCAAACTCCATACCATTACAATAGTAATTCATTCATATATTCCAATCGATCAATCATTCAAATCCCACTCAATAAACATCATATTAACATCAATTCATCATACGCACCACATGATTTTACATACAACCTATGGGGCTTAGGGGGTTCACCCCCTACCCTTATCCTTCATATATGCATAAGAATTTAATAATCTCACTCTCCCTACCTAGAGGGACACCCTTGCAAAACAATACTCTCCATGTAGCTCTGGTCGCTAATTCCTACCTTCTCCAAGGTGATCTTCTCTAGATTTCCTCTTATGAATGCGTATTAACCTAATCCCCTCTATTTTATTTTATTTTAATAAGCCTTTGAGTTAGATTCAGAGTCTAACCCAATACTCTCTAATCTACCACTCTCCTTATTATTTTATTTAATTAATAAAAATATTATTTATATTATAAATTTAATTAATTAATTAATCAAGCCTATAGTATAATTTTTCTATTAAAGGCAATTTATTTTGTCATGAATAAAATAAGGATGTTATAAGGGATGTCAAAAAATTCATACATGTGAATAAAATCTACTACGAATAGGAAATAAATATTGTAAATGGGTACCCACAAGTAATTGGTACAAGTATTTTCTATATTCTCATGTTAATGGGACAGGTACGAATATCATAGTATCTATACCTCTGGATACTCTCTAATATTCAATTACATAATTAGATATTAAATTTGTTTAAACTAATAAGAATGAAGTAGTTTAACAATTTAATTTAATTTTTAAATTGAAAAATCTTGATTAATAAAAGTGTATAATATTTGAATAAATTAATATTTTAATTTTAAACTATTATTTTAAAAAAATTATTAAAATAAATAAAAATTATTATTAAAATATTTTAAAAATTATTTTTTTTAAATAAATGTTCATGATAATAGGCGAATATCTACTTAATAGATATTGAACGAATATAACACGAATACAGAATGAGTATTCATCTTGTGGAGTACATATAGTAGCACCGTTGACATCCTTAATCTAGATCAACAACATTCCAACAAGTAAAAAGATTTAATATATACTGATATCATTCTCATCCATTTACTACTTCCACTTACTAGTAGAACAGCCAATCCCACAAAATTAAAATATACAAGTGTAGATGCGAAGACCAAATAGTAAGTCATGTCTTCTATATAATATAAAGTTAATACACCGGCATATTCATTTTGAATTCTACTGCTACTGCCACTTTCATTATATTAGTCTCAACTTTGAAGCAATTATCATTGATTGTGCTATTCCCCTCAAACTTCAACATGGGGCTGCAAGAAAACAGTTCAGAAAGAAAGACACCACCTGGTCATACTAAGAAGAAATTATGGCGGAGTAGTAAATATTTTTTCTTCGATAAGACCCTACCTTTGATTGGCGGTAATCATTGTAGAATGTAACTAATTGTTTTATTCATGTAAACTAAATCTAACTTGACTCTTCCCTGTATAACTTCAGGTTTGGTTTCAGCCAACATATTTGTGCAAGTTGCGGTGGTGGTTATATTGATGGATTACCTCACAGATTCAGGGAAGGATCTACGGCTAGTTGTTCTCATAACAAATCTGCTAGATGGCCTATCATCTGTTTTTGTTGTCATTGTTTCTGCAATCACAGAAGCATATACTGGTTGCTTCATTATGATCATATTTTGCTGTGTATCTACCATCGAGGTAAATTCTTTTTTAAATATGAAAATAATTTAGATACAATTCCATACATTTTTTTTACCTCAATAATGTGTATAATAAATATTTGCATTAAATGTTAACATACATTACTTAGATAAAACTCTAATTCTAAGTTTTGCCCATATAATATTCATATTATACCTAGCTATATTGCAATATCAACCGTTAAAACAAAACCAAAAAAGTCTCGTTTAGTAATTTCAGGGTTTAATGCTACTATGGACATCTACATCACCTTCAACATTTGGATATGTCTACCCAGCAATATTCTTCTTGGCATTAGGTGCAAGAGGTCAAAAGCTTTCAGAAAATTTTCTTGAATATCAGTTGCGAGAGAAAATTGAAGCACAAAAGGAAAACGCACCAGAACATGGAAGCACGCAAAGGAAAGAAGAGGAAAACAAGGTGGATATAATGCGTAATATAATCTGGTTATTGGCTTCAAAGATTGTTGGATATATCGTAACACTGTCTATTGTCAATACGTTTGATGATGAAACGTACGGATTCCGTTTCAGACTTGCGGCACTTCTCATGGGAGGGATTTTTCTGTTATTCCTCATGGGTTATGTGTGGTATAGCCGCGAATTATTGACCGTTGAAAGCAATCTACGCAAGATCTATAGAATCTGCAAGGCAGCGTTTGGGAAACGCAAATCAAAGTATCCAACCTCACCGAGTTGTTATCATTGGAAAGGTTATAAGCAAGGGCATTTGTATGAACGTGGCAAAGGTAAAGGACTAAGGTTATTGCCTCGAGTTCCGCGACTATTCAGGTGGTTGGACAAAGCAGCTATAGTTGAAGTTGAAGGAGAAGAGTGTGGTGATCACGAAGTGCAAGAAAAGAATGGTAACCTTTGCATGGTAAAGGAAGTGAGGGAAGTGAAGAGCCTTGTTCCTATGATCTACCTTGGCTTTACTTTTTCTGCTTATAGTTTACTTATGGCCACTGGGAACACTTTCTTTGTTGCACAAGCCAGCATCATGAAACCAGTTATTACAAAAAGTAATAGTAATGATATCTCTATTCTCTTTGTTATCAAGACCAGCGTGAAAGCTGTTTTAGGATCAATCTGCATTACTATTATCAAGACTTGTGAATTTCGAAGCTCGAAAAAATCGAAAAGAAAAGCAGGCACAATTATAAGGATTGGTTTGGGCCTGGTTTGTGCGGTAATTTGTAGTCTCGTGGCATGGAAAGTTGAGATACATAGGTTGTCGATAAACAAGGAGGGACATTTTAAACACGCTGGTGGAAACACGACAAGGGCTTTGGTTCCACAATTCTCGTTGTTAGGAATGACGGAGGGATTTGTTGATGGTGGATTATCGAGTTTATACCGTGACCAAGTAGCTGAATCATTGGGAAGTTTTGAGGAATCTTTTAGTGGGTTATTTATTGGTAGTGGCAAACTCTTGATTATACCACTTGTATTAATTATACGTAGCTGGTTCAAGGAAACTGTCAACACTAGTCGTTTGGATCTGTACTATCTGTTTATGGCAATATTGAACGCTGTGTTCCTTCTAGTTTTTGCATACTACTCCTCCAGATATGCCTACAAGGAAGAATTTCCCAAGGAAGATCCACCATACTCTGAGGAAAGCTCGGCAAATCAAGAACTAGCGGAGGTCACAGCGAATCAAATTTCGGAAAAAGGTAACAAGGACTTTTTTATTTTTTTTTTATCTTTCACTTACAATCGATTTTGACCTTACGTTTCTTAGACTAGTTTGGAACTCACATTTAAACTATTGTCAATTTGAACGTTTAATGAGTAGCCATTTATCATTAAAAAAGTAAGAGAAAGAGTATTTTTATAAATTATTTTTATCTTTGACTTCTAATTTATAAGAGACTTTTATATATATATAAATATATATAAAGAAAGAATCGAGAAAACTTACAATAAAAAAGTCAAAGTGCGCGGTTTTCGAGTTGGGGACTTAGTGTTAAAAGTGATTCTTCCCGTGGATCAAAAATCTCGACACTTAGGAAAGTGGTCTTATAATTGGCAATGACCATTTATAATCGATCAAGTATACTCAAAAAACGCATACGTGATTAAAGAAATAAATTCGAATGCAGCAAGCAAAGTGATTAATGGAAAATGCTTAAAATGATTTCATTAAAGGGCAGAGTACTAAAGTATACGTCCAATACAAACCGAAGAGAAATTAAAAATCGATGTTCGAAAATCTAATTATTACAAAACTTGGATTTGAAATCTTTAAAGGCTTGATAAGCCTCATCCAGACTTTGCCTTCGAGAAGTGCACTGAGCCTCCAGACGTCTCTTCTACTCCAAGGTCTTCGCGAGTCTCAAAGATATCACCTTGCCCTCATCTTTGAGCGTTTTCTAACGTTGAATAACATCTTGGCTTTCATCTTTCAAAGCAGCTTGTTTTGACCGTGATTTGTTAAGCTCATATTGTAGGGCTTCAATAGATTTCTTGATGTCAGCCTCCTCTTGTTGCAATTTTTTCAGAGCAGAAATCATCTCTTCAGTAGATTTCCTGATCAAGAGTAATTCCTGCTTGAAATGTTCAAGCTTAGCACGGTCTCCTTCGGTCCCTACCTCGATGTGAGCCACCTTCAGAAAAGTGTAGACCTATTTAGCTCAAAGATCATAGGCAAGAGTGAAGGGCTTAATGAACTCTTGAAGTTCAAGATGAACTTCGGGAGGGAGGTCCGGATAGGCGAGTAAGTCATCGATCATCTATTGAACCTCAGTTTTGAATTCAGGAACAACAAATGCCTGATTGAGGTCCTCGACATAAGCCTTGGACAGGAAAGACTCGAGCAAAGGTTAGAAGTTGGCAACTGACTCAGAAGCCTTCTGAGAAACAGATGCACCACTCGTCCAGTTCTCCAAAACATCAAAAATATTATCCACCTCGAGGTCGTCATGGAAAAAGCTGATTAAATCCAAATCAGCAGATTGGAGAGAAGGAGTAGGAGGTTTCGATGATTCGACACCACCTTGCTTGGACGGAGAGGGAGTTAGAGTCGGAGAATCAGTCAAACCTGCACACGAAAAGAAGATAAGAAAGGCATACTTTTCATACGATAATTGATAAACCTTAACAAAAAAGAAAAGTGTACCATGATTCGAACTGAATGGGGGCTTAAGCTTGAAAGAAGGAGCTTCATCTTGAGAAGATTGGTGTTGAGGCTCAGTTTTCACTAAAGGCTCTGACAAAGGAACATCACCTTCCTTGTGTTGGGGGGTGGAAAGGATGCCTGTCGAGGCCATCTCGACAAGATTGAGTTGAGGAGGAGTAACCAACTACATGAAGATAAGATTAATTAAATGCAAGAAGAAAGTACAATGGAATAAAGATCAATGGAAATCGAACCTATTGCTCCCTAGTGGATAGAGGAGTTTCCTTAGAAATTTCTCGAGAGGAATCGATATGGATCACCTCAACATCCTGCAATTGAAGAAAATCTTAGAAAAATCTAACGAAATAAGAAAACAAGTTGAGCTAAAAGTTATATCTCTTAGGAATGGATTTCATTGCATCTTTTAGCAATTTCTCGACTGGCAGTTTTTGGATCACCTTTGTGAGAGGAATTTGTTATTTGCCCTTTCCTTTATCGAGTTTCCTCGTAGTCGAAACCTAAAGAAGTGAGAAAAATGAGAAAGAAGAAAATGAGATGGTAGAAATGAATTACTCACAGTTTTGGCACTAGTTGAATTTGCCTCCTGTTTCTTCGAGGTCTCTAGATTCTGGAAATACAAAGACTTAGGAAAGATAGTTTTTGGTAAATCTGATTAGAAGTATAGACCGAAAAGAATGATACCTTCGAACGAAGGGAAACCTTATCCGAAGCAGTTTTTCTTTTTTGGCTTTTCAGCGAAGACCCATTATCCTCCTCATCACTTTTCCAATTCGGAGTTTCCTCAGCATGTTGAGGAACACGCTGAGGAATAGCAGCTACATAACCCAAGGCAAGAATGAGATGAGTACAAAATGGGAATTCTACAATATTTTGTTAAAGACATTTACCTGGAGGAGGATTGGTATTATCGACCCAACACAATGGCCACCATCTCCTTCGAGGAAAATCGTACACGAAACATCTCGCATAAGTAACCCGGTTCTTTACAGGAATTTATTTTCACTCAAGGTAAAATGGGTCAAGTGTCTTCACCCAAGAAGGGTGAGATAAATGTTTAACCAAACCAAAACGAGCACTTGGAAGAGGAGGAATATTTTTAGGACAAAATTTTTTGAAATCAGTTTTTCCTAGAGGATTAATAACTTTTTTTGAGCGGATGTTCCTTTGTACCATTTTTGATAAAGAGACAGACGCATCAAAGATGGTTCGACCGACATTGTCAAGTCGATAACAAACTTTAAATAATTGCTCTAATTGATAAATAATAGTTTGGTTCTTGTGAGTACCTGATAATTTTGGGCCCTACGAAGAAAGAGGAGAATTAATCAACTTCTTTAGGAAATCATCAAAGGTGAACATTTTTTCGACATAATACTCACACCACCAACGAAGAAAACACTTCGATACAAGAAAAGAAGAAGAGAAAGTAAAAGGGGTAAGAGAAAGTTGTTTTTCAGGGTGAAGTATCAAACTGAGAACTGCTTCAATATCCCCCTTGTCATTGCATATATCAGCATCAATCTTTTCCTTTCGACGAATCGGAAGGGGTTTCATCTGGCAGAGTCCAAATTGTCGAGAAAAGATCTGAGGTTGGTAGGGATAAATTCTAACGTCCTTTTGACGCATACTAGACAAGATGATATCCCAGGAAAGAAAGCCAATCCATATATCAAGAAATGATGGGGATATTTGTCCTACTTGGTTATTGTCTCGAATCCAAGAAGGACCCAGTAAGTCAGAGGGAACAAAGGGAGCAAGGTCTTCAACGAACACCTCAAAACTCAAAATTACATTAACATATTTGGCAAAGTTATCAACTGAGCGCTTTCGAGGGGTTAAAGTAGTCAGTCGAGCGCCCTCAAGTTGGCAAGAGGGAGTAAAAGAAGAAGTGAGTCGAAGCCTCTTTTCAAAGATGGCGTTTAACCACAGTTGTAATAACCAGAGTGGCCCAGAGAGATTTTGAGGTCCAGAGTCTCGAAAAAGGCTTTCCAACGCATCATCGAGGCATGTGTATAGAGAAGCCAATAATAACTTGCTAAGACATATTTTCCTCTGAGAATGGATAGCTTGGGCTAAAGCATAATAATACTTTGGGACCTGAAGAGAGGGTGTACAGAACACGCAAGCCGATAACCAGTACATTAAAAAAGTGATGTGTTTCGAAGGAGAAACAAGGGTACCCGACTGACCCATATGGGCATTAATGAAAGCCAAGTAAGTCCTTTTGTCCCAAGTGATGGAAGTTTCTTTAAGGGGAATTTCTTCCTCGAAGGCTTCTGGATAAAATCTATCTCCAATAGGGGTCAGACCAGTAATAGTAGCGATGTCTAGAAGGGTAGGGCATACAAAGCCACATGGGAATTCAAAAGCATGAGTTTCTCGATTCTAGAAAAAGATAGCAGATAAGAGCATTTGGGGGTCGAAAACAAGCAAATCAAACTTAGCCAATTGAACAAAGTCTTGGATGCCAGCACCTACCCAAATAGTACGCATAGAATCCTCTACACACTCCAACCACTGCAAATGTCTATCTTTGGTAGGAGGCAAGGCTCTAAAAATTTTGGTAGTGTCACTTAAAAGAGATAGGTCTATCTTAGGAGAATAGACAAAGGGCAAGGTAGTTTGATCTTCAAAAAGAAGCGTATTGTTGAATTTCTTTTTATTTTGTCCTATGAAAGGCCCTAAGAAAGCACAAAAGGAACCATCTGCAAGAGAAAAGGGAAGGAGTATCTGAGACTGGTATATCTTTATACTCGCCTCTTCCATGCCGAGAATAGGAACAAACGACTTGCCTCCTTCTACAATGCAAACAGTGGCATTGGTGGTCAGTAGAGGAATAGATTGCATGGATGAAGCAGTAGCCAATGTAAGGGATAGAACAGAGGCAGTAGCATAGGTGGAGGTGGCGGATGAAGCCATGATAAACAAGGAATCAAGCAAGAACAAGAACAGGGAACCAAGAAGTATAGAGCAAGAACGGAGAAGAAAGTGAATTTGGTCACAGTTTAGGCGGTAAAAGCACTTTACCCTAGATAAAAATCATTTTAAATAAGCTAATGGGCCTTAGTGTAGGGGCCCACATAGCAAGCTAGGGCCCACACATCAGATTATCAAATCAAGCTGCCAAAACGTGCAAATCAAATAGACAAGAAAATCGGGAAATGTAAGCACGCGCCGTCACAATTTATGAGGGGACAATAGGTTATGATGAAAGCAATAACTGCACTTAAAACGCGCTAAAGGTAGGTTTTCATCGAACCCAGGGTGTTCAAAGATCAATATCGAACAAAGAAGGTTTGAAATCAAGGGGTGATTAATCAACGAAGCGTATTGTGTTCTATATCGAGACATAAAAAGAAAGAAAGATAAAGACAAGTAGGAATTTAGTTCTTGTCGATTCGACATTCTCCTCGAAAACTAAATTCCTAGGGGGCATTTGCTGGGGCTACTCAAAAGCCAGATCGCTTGAAAATCACACTTTGAGTCTATTCGAAAGAGAGACATAGAGGTACCAACCGAAGAAAGGATTACAAG